TTTCTTTCCCAGCTGTTGTGGGTGACAACAGCTTTTGTCTCCAGAACTGATGTTGAGTTGGTCTCTAGTCAAAAACCTTAAGAGAAAGGCTGAAAATTTTCAAGGTGGGTACTATGTTGAAGGGCTGGGAGGGGTAGCTCTGGCTGTGCATTTGAGGGTCGAACATGCTGAATTCCTCTGAGATGAGAGGAAAAAATTGACGAAAACCTCTTTTCTCTTATAGCTAAAACACGATCTTCTATTAACCAAGGCAAAGGTTTCTTTCATAATGGACAACAATCTCCAGATTCAGGATAATCTAAAAGGGACTCCTGTGGAATTATTTTTTGGGGACAGTGGGACTCTCAATTTTTATATATTATATCTCCATTTTTTCCTTCTGTCATGGTGTTATCTTGTATTTTGTCAAGTCCAAATTTCAGGCAGCTGTGTTTCATTTTTTACCTCTCAAAACACAACTCTATTTTTTCTGATTTATAAGGTCATACATTTTCTGTGACAACACAATTATCATTTCCAACATTTTTCTCAGTAGGGATCTCCTTTTCAATGCAATGAACTATACTTCTGAAATGGAGATAAACGTGTCTAGTTGGCAATTTATGTAGCCCACTAAATAGATATTCTAGAAGAAGCCAGAGACACCCTCTGAATAACTGGAGGATCTGGATAAATCAAACACTCCCACAGCTCCACTCTGAGTTTGTCACTGGGCAACTGAGTTAGCCTAGTAGAAAAATATATCAAGTTTGATATACCCATCTGGAAGCTCTGATACCATAAAATCTGAGTTAACTTGCTTGTTTAGACCAAGAGCCCTTTTATGAATGAAGCAAACAATTGAGAAAGACCTGATGATCTTACTGTAGCACGTGTCCCCAGAGGAAAACCCTCTCACCTATAGCAAAAGAATAGAACTAGAACTGTTCCTACAACTCATAGTACATCACATTTGTACAGTACGTCACACTTTTCTGGTTTCCGTCATAAACACTGTGGTCAGCAATCAGATTTTGAGGGAGGTGGAATTCTTCTGAGATAACAGGCTATGTGAACTGTTTGATCTCCTGTGTAGTAAACGGCAAGTATGGATTCAGACCTAAGCCTTCAGGTCTACTTCATTTTGTCTGATACTGAAACTGCTTTTCATAAGTGACATAATTTTTGTAAAAGGGTTAAGAAAAAGATAAAGCACTCCAGAATTTGTTTGCCCATTACTGGTACTATATGTACACTCCGAATAGTATAGTGTCAAATCTATAGAAGACTCCGTAACTGCTTTTTCCTTTCTATCCACTCTCTAATGAAAGAAAAGGAAAAAAAGAAAGTAAATGAGATGGCGGGAGGGAGGGAGTAAAGGAGGAAGGAAGGGAGGTGGCCGATTTGAGAAAGCTAAGAAATGATTAAAATGCTTTACATTAGGGTCATATTTAGATATAGCCAGAAATTAGATTTTTTGAATCGACTGTGGCTTCAGAGGGCCTGCCTAATGAGACTGTTGAAAACTGTTTGGCAACACAGTGAATTAATCTAAATAAAAAATAACCGTGTGTTGGTCTAAAGTATCTACATATGGCACTGCCATACCCAATACTGTAGAGAAATATTTAGTGTGTCAAGATTAATTCTAAATTGCCTTATATTAGAATTATCTTGCTCCTAATTTCAAGGTAAACACTCTTCTCCGT